ATATAGATAGATAATTTTTAAGGGAATGCATTTAGTTATAATTAAATTAGGTATTAGATAACCTTGGTCATTATGCATTTACATGGCCAATATTAAATTAAATTTATTTTTTAATAATATTTGTTAAAAAACCCTATTAATATCACAATCTCATAAAATTTCACATTTTAAAATACATGCAATTTATGACATTGATTTTTAAACAATATTAGGATAATTACACATTAAAAGCTACAAAACATAAAACTCAACAAAATAATTATGCGTCTTTTTAATTTGAAGGCCTGCCCAGACATTTTGGCTAATTTATATCGATTTCCTTCTCCTTAAGCATGTTTTCTAACAATTAAAAATTTGTCTCAATATGCAAAACAATGTTCTCATTAGTTTCTGCATGTTTTATCTCCTAACTGCCAACCTCTCCACAATGTACTACCTATTAGGGTTTGCTTGATCTGGTAAAAGTTTAATAGTTCGACCCCCCTCCCCCCGACAGACGTGAAACAAATTATCACTATGTCTGAAAGTAACTATAAATCAGATAATAAATTTAAATAAAGGTTTAAATAAGCTTCTTATTCAAAAAGAAATTGGAACATATAGGCATGTTCTTATGCTAACAAAATATTTAGTTTATATTTAGCTAACAAAATATTTTAGTTTATTATAACAGTTTGTGGTGATATAATTAAACAAGAAGAGTCAAACTAAAAATATGGACTAGTGGTCAAAAACTATACAATTTAATTTCAATTTAATCTGGTTCAGTAACTCTATTGTGATAATAAACTGAAATGTCAGCAGCAGTAATGGAAAGACTAATAATTACAAATCATCGGAGCCATTGGTGGCTCGTAATAAGCACTGTGGAACTGCAGCACCCCCTGTTACCACTTATTATTATTTTTAATATTTAATATAGTGTGCCCTTTAGTCTTTAATTCTTTCTTTGTACTTTTATAATACATAATCCGTAAGCTTAATGTCAGTTGCCATCCCCCTACTTTGTGAAAAAGGTACGAAATTCTTTGTTTGGAACTGCGCGCTTCACAGTTCCAGCGATGTGGTGCTTGGCTGTTCTGCGCATGCGCACACAGAAAGCAGCACGCGAGCCGGGTTGCGAGAAGAGCACTGTCGCTCTTGCAGTGCTGAAATTCTGGCATGTTGTTGGAAACGTGATTTCTTTTTACTCCGCGCTCCTTCACTCATCATACGGACCATAAACAGAGTTCATGAAAATTTGCAACCTTTAAAAAATTGCCTTACTGAAATTCAATCAACATCAAATGCAGATCAAACTATTGCAAAAGCAACAGGAATTAAAAAAAAAAAAAAAAAAAAAAAAAAAAAAAAACTATACAATAATTTCAAGTTTGGGCTAGAGCTTTTTTTATCAGATGCCTCATGTTTAAATAATATACAACTAGATGCAATCCAGAGAAATTAGTGTGTTGTTTCAAGTTAACGATTATATAACAAATTTCAAAACTGCTATTTTAGAATTAAGAAACTTAAAGTACTGTAAGAATTTTTCAAAGACACTTATGGCAGAAGCTAAGGCAATATGTGACTTTATACTATGTATTGATATAATGCAGAGATATTCTTCCACTAAACACTTAGCAGCTGCTAACTTGTTAAACAAGAAATGCTTCGCTAGTTTTAGGAATGAACATTCTACAGAAGAAATAGTACTGACCCCTGAAGCATATTTAATGATTGAAAAAGAAAAGCTTGAAACTGAACTGAAAGTATTCTATTGTAGGTCTGATATCCATGAATACTGCAAATTAATTGAGCTACTGAAATTTATCTTCGAAAATAATCTAAATGATGTTCTCAGTGAAATTACGAAACAGATAAAAAATTCTCTTGAGAGTTCCCATGACTACATCAGAGGCAGAACGCTGCTTTTCAACATTTAAAAGAATGAAAACTTTTTTAAGAAGCACTAGGAATTCGTAAAGATTAAATGCGCTTGCATTGATTTCAATAACGAAAAATTTCCTCAGTTGTCATCCAGAGATCAAGGAGAAAATTATTGAGCTTTTCGCGCAAATTAAAACAAGAAGAATGGATTTCATTTTTAAATGAATAGACAAAGGTTTAACTGTAACAATTTTGGTTAAAGTAATTAAGAAATGTTTAATTTTTTTCTTGAAAGATTTCATAAAGTTTCAAAATAAATTTTCTTTTTATACATATTTATTTCCTTTTAGACAATTTTAAAACAAAGGTTACATTTTTTTGGAACAGCACCCCCACTAATTTAAGCCACGAGCCGCCACTGATCAGAGCTGACAGGAACTAATGCAGGGAGCAAGGGGAGTTCAGAAACACTCATCTTATACTCCAAAAAACTCAGTTTGAAAACTGTCCAAGTGATTTGCATTCTGATGAGGAAATAGAAATGGGAAATTATAGTAAAGGCTGAAGCTGTAAACAACTGGGTAATTTACATAATAATAACTGTACATATCTTTGAAGAAATATTTTCTTTCTCTTTACATATTTAATTTCTTTATTCAACATGTTTCCTTTTCACTTTAAATTTTTGGGATTTAATTAAAGACTTCTGTTATTCTAAAAGACTAAATGCATTTAGAATGTATGGAAAAAGCTGCTAATTTTATTTCTTTAGTAATACGAACATTCAGAAGAAATATGAAATACATATGGTAAGGTCTGGTCACAGTGCTGGTGTGGCATAACTTTTAGAATTTAGGGACACATTGAGCAAAAAAATCTAGAAATGGCAAAACGTTTAGAATTTAAAGCAGGTATTGAAAGCAGAACTTAGAAAGGCACCAGGCATCAGAATTTAGGATCCATCAGGTGGCAAAATGCCTAGCACCAGCTCTGTGTATGATGCATTAAGACATATCAGATGAATCTTTTGAATTGTCAGTTTTCAATTTCTTTATTAATAAAAACATTAAGAAAGCAATTTTAGAATCTGAAGTAAAACATTCAACTATGTTTTCATTGTTCTTTCAGATGTTCTCCAAAATGTAAGAAACTGCGTGTTACTACCATGGAGACATTTTTCAGGAATTTTTTAGAATCGTGGGTCTATAAATTTGCCTTGAAATCTTTCTAAACTTTCCAAGCTTCAATGTCTAAAATCCTAAAGAAAAATTACCCCTACCAATTCTGTAACAGCAAAAATCCAAAAGTGGTTTTAGAACAAATCGGAGGAAAAAAGTGTGAAATTAATTTTATAGAGAAAACTGATGCATATTCTGAGAATTCTGATCATTCTGAGAAATGGGGAAAATTCTTACCATGAAAAAATTAAAAAGACATTTTTAATTAATTACATAGCTATTTTGCTTTTGCTAAAAACTGTTTCGTAAACTGTGTTTTATAGCATTATTCCTTGCATATTTTTCAAATTAATTTATTTATTGTGGCCAAAATGGAAATTTATAATATGATAGTGAAAAATAAGAATTTTTTATTTTAATGTTATTTCTTAAATATAATTAAAGTATATTACCATTATTTTAATGAAATTTATCACTGTTAGAATGTTTTAAAAGAAGCATAAAAAAATTCCCAGATCTCAGATTTAGAAAATTTCTATAGAAACCGATCATAAAATCTCCAAAATGTTGATAATACTAATTCAGAAGTCAAACAACAAAAATCAGCATTGGAACAACAAAAATTTATGTTGATAATAGCCAAGTTTAGAACCGTTTAATAAAAGAATTCACATCCCCAAAAGCGGAAAGTTGTTTGAGAGCTTTTCATTACAAAAAATGAAATAATTTTGAAATGCTCATGTTTCACTTCTTGCTCAGCAACTCGAGTATCCCACCATTATTTATATTACAAATAGGAACAAATTATAACTCATGAAACAATTAAAAAATAGCCATATTTGTCAGTGAATATTCCTGCAAAATGCTAATTCACACCCAAAATGGCAGTCGTAAAAACAGACAGAAATTTCAGATGATTAAAATTAAGGACTTTTAAGGACCAAAAATCGATTCCAAAAAACTTAAGGACTTCTAAGGACTCTTAAGGACCATACGAACCCTGATTTAGTAAGGAATTATAAGCAGAATAAAATAAAAACATCTGCCCTGAAGATAAGGATATTGCTGACAGATTAACTTCCAGTTCATTGTGCGCTGCGATGCCCCCCCCCCTGCAGAGCAGCATGAAATTGATAAACACATTACAGAATGGTTGGAGAAACAAAAGATATGCCTTTATCCATTTTTTAAGCAATTCCACTTTTTGTTTGATGGACATCGAAACATGCTTTGTAGATCCTTTGGCAGCTCCAGAATTGGAAACTCTTTTTGACATAATCGAAAGTTCAAGCTTACTTTTATCAAATTGCTCTAACAGTCTGCAAAAAAATAATAAGCCGGATCCAATTAGAAGATTAAGGAACAATGCAATCTGCAACATTAACTGAAATAGATAATTAGATAATTTTAGCTTAGCTTATACCGTCTGTTATACATTAAACGTGCATGCGTAAACGTATTATGTGCATGCATAAAGGTATTATGCGCATGTGCAGAAAGTTTGTAGCTTTGAGGTCTGGATTATAGATCATTCTGGATTATGGATGTCCGGATTAAAGACTTTTGACTGTATATGTTAAATTTTGGTTCAATTAAAAACTTATAATATAAAATAAAGCTTTTTCCCTTCTCCTCCTCCATCTCTTCTGATAATTCTTATAAGAAAAAATTCAGGAGATTGAGAAATTATTTAATATTTGAATTCAAGAAAATTTAGACTTTGTCCCACTTCTAATAATTTTTGAAACTTTAATTTCATTTTTAAAAGTTCTTTTAATTTGACAGCACCATTCCTCCTAGCCTTTGAAAAATCCACATTGCTTCAATATAATCAAATAGATACTGTTTCCAAATGTAACACAATTTAATAGAAATCAAAACAATAATTTAAAAAATATTATGAAAGAAATAAAAATCGGACTTTGCTTCAAAAAATCCAGTTTTAAAGCAGGATTAAGAAAAAATTAAGTTTTATTCTATCGATAGCTTTAGAAATTCCTAAAAATTTCAGGAACAAGATTAACAAAACATGAATAAAAGACACACACTCTCATTTTTTGAAAATTAAACTATTCTATCCAATGTCATTAAAGAAATGCTATTCTACATACCATCACATTACTATCATAAAGATAGGTTACATCACTGTAATAATCACAGTACATAGTAGTGTACATTACTCATGTGTAAACACATGTAACATTAAAATTAATTCAATTGCCGTAAAACACAAGCACACAGCTTATTTTACTATACAATTAATTACATTAATAAATCCACTGGCTATGAAGTGGCATGAACAATTTTACATAAATAACAAAATATAAAACACCAGTAAAAAAATATCTCACAACTTCAATAGTGCATTTTGTTTCTAAGTTCTAATATCTAAGTTAATTAAAACACAATCAAATGAATAATGGGATAGAAAATTCAATCTAGCACATAAAAAACTGCTTGCTTTTCCCTTGAAATTTTATTAGCAAGTGCCACAAAACTAAATTTTTCCAGTTATCAATCTAAATTCATTTCTTATTATATAAGAAAAACTTTTCAACCTGTTATACAAAATCCTTATTTTTTCCTTCTTACATCATAGAAACTTTCGCAGCATTGCAATGATAGTATAAGTAAACATCATGGACTAAACAATTAATAAAACTATGTATTCTTTAAAGAAACTTCATGACTGTCCAGAGAAATGAGGACCCTGTCATGGGTCACTGTTTCCCGAGCATTCTTAAAAGTTGCTGAGCAAGTTTATCTTATAATGGTGAACAATACTTATAATCCATTATAATGGTATTTAAAATGATAAGTCAAAATGAACTGGTGAAATGTTACAATGTTTTACATTCTAAATTGGTCACTGATTGTGCTTTCATATCAAATCTCCACCTACATCAGAATTTTCCTATGCACTAAATAAGTGCTTTTAATATAATAAGTAATAATAAGTTTAATATAATAACTGCTTTTAATACAATATTTATAGTTTATTTTTTCAATATGTATTAAAAAAAAACTTAAGAACATTTCTGCAAAAATATCTGCTTGATGTAAGAATGTCCATAACTTCATGAAAGGGATGAAGCTTACAAGAGTTAATTTTTTAAATATATAAGAAATACTATTTTATACTCTATAAAATATTTCTAGCACAAGATTTTAATTTTCAGCAAATCCCATTTATTTTTGAAATAAATGTATACAGATTTTCAGCTTTTATTTGTGATTCTATTACATTTAATTTTAATATTTTATTCTTCTTAAGTGCAATAAAAAATCATCTTAACACTCCTCCCCTCTAAAAAAAAACTTTTTTTTTTTTTTTTTTTTTTTAAATAGCCAAAATTAAAAAAAAAATTACACTAAGAAACAACGAAAAGTTAAAAACTAACTTCATTGGATTTCAGACATCAATTCACAGAAAATACATAAAGTATAATTATTTCTGGCAGATTAATTTTGATACTGAATGAAATCATAAAAAGTAACTTCACATGATCAAACAAACAAACAAAAAAAAAAAAAAAAAAAAAAAAAAAAAAAAAATTTTTTGTTCTATACTATATAAGCATATCATATATACAGTTTTGTACTCAGTCTTAAAAAATGACTAGAAATAAATGGATTAATTACCAGCTCAACTGATGGGAAAGGTACTTGTCCATAAATCAAAAACTGCAAAATGCATTTTTAATTTCCTCATTTACAAAATAGCAACTAAAACTACAGTAAATTATTTTCAAGGTTTTAACATTCTGCCTTTTTCTTTTGAGGGGAAGTTCTAATATTACTAAAACAAAAATTTATTTTAACTACATTTTGCATCCATATAAGGCCTGGTGACTAACAATACTACCTAAATTTCATTTAATGATGAATGGATACCAACTAAGCAATGCCTATAATGAGAGTTTGATTATACCTTTGATTTTATATCAAGAACACAATTCACTTATGTGCTCTCAAGGAGATGATTGAATACAATGCAATATATTTACATACTAAGACACTCTAATGGTAAATTTTATAATAAAAGATATTTTAATCAAATATTCTATGCATGAAATTTTATTATTTTTAGACGATTCATTAATCATTATGAATTGCTTTTATTAATTTTAATGCATGTCTGAGTTTAAAAAATAAGGCACAATTATTTCAATGCAAATTTAATTTTTATTTAATATTTTGAAAGTATATTTTCCTATCACCATGAAAATAATATGACTAGCAATTAAAAAAACCAAATACTAGTATGCTGCAACAAAGCTACATGTTACATGATTTTATCTACAACAAAATGCAGCTGACTGCCTCATGCACTAGAAATTGGCCTACCGGCAACTGAGCAGTGAAGTTGCTAAACACTGGTAGTTCGGTCCAGAGTTTGAATCTTAGCAAACAGGCTGAATACATGGGAATTTTTGTGGGTTTGTCAATTTGTAACATTCATATGAGCCAGCTGCCCTAAGAAAATAAAAAGGGCCTATTTTATTACATGCTTATTTTCTCACTAGGATGTATGCCCTCCTCAAAGGCATACATCCTATTGGGAAAATAGGCATTGAATGTTTTGCATTATGTACTTGTATTTATGTAAAAACCGTTATAAACTTGTATTTAATGTAAAAACAGTGTTCCTTCCATGGTTTTTACAATTATTTTTTTTCACTGAATGTGCAATAAGACCTCCAAGAAAATGGGGCTTTGCTTGAAAAATCACTAAAATCTTATACCGAAATTTCTTTGCTGTAAGAAAGTATTATGCTTCATATAAATGAATGAAAAATATAAAATTAGAAGATTGGGACCAAGGGAAGGTATCTTAACCTGGCCTATATTTTGCATAAAAATCTATGCTTATCTACTGTGCTTCTTTTTGATTAATTTTATATAATTATTTTTCCTTATTTGCTTTACATTACTATGTAGTTTATTTACAAAGAAATATATTTGCTGAAATAACTGAAACTTTCCCATTCCTTGAATTAAAACATTTCACCAACTCATTCTGCTTCAATTCTGTTTTCAAGTTCTTTTTTTAATAAGTCAATGAAGTTTTACTTTCAATCATTATTACATTTAGATGTTATTTCAATCATTACATCTGCTATTGTGCCAGATATGTGGTCGTGTTGTGGTGCCAGATAATATGGTCATATTTGGCATAATGTCAATTACAGTTCCTGAATAAAACTAAAGGTGCTTTATTCCTTTCAAATATCTCCTGCCAATGTAAGGTTCTGAAAAGCTTGAAATGCACAAATCAGTAATTTTTTTTTAAATAAAATTTTGGATTATTATGGTAATAAGCACTGATCATTCATGATACTTGCCACTGCATAAAACCCAAGATCTTCAATTTACTCTCCAAATATAATTAGTTTGTTATTGCTTAATAATACTGCTATAAATTAAGTAATTTAAAAGGGACCTCTTGATATTTTAAATTTTTGTCTTATTCTTGATAATAAATCTAATTAATATTATTTTAAAATACACTTAATTTATTATGCACACAACTCAAAGTTTTTTATGAATATTTGTAACATTATGGCAATTAGCACTAAAAAATGCAACAACATTATGTTTGCATAAATATGATGTTAAAATTATTTTTTGTTATATACAGAACATTTTCCCTTTTCCCAAAATGATTTTTATTGACTCTCTGTTATGTAAAAATACTGATCTAACATATTATGCTTATTAAAAAGCGATTCCATAATTAAACTGTATTCAACTCATAAGAATTAATTTGATTTGCAGTATTTGTAAAAATAAAAACAAAATTAAAATTACAAAATCATGCATATGAACATCATACATTACTGCAATAAAATTACATGAAAAAAACATCACACTTTATATATAATGCAGTTTATAATGTATTTCAAGGTTTGCATCTAACAATATAGCAAATATCAAAACAGCCATTACTGTAATTCCATTACTTAAACACATTAACCATCTATAGTATTTTATAAAATTCCATTTAAATGGAAAAACAGTTATAAAATTTTAGAATCGGTGGGAAAATGTATGAGTTAATTATCATAATTATTTACCTAGACACAAGACAAATCTACTAAAAAAATAAGAACTGAAAATTAAACAATTATGTAGTAACACAGATCTGATAATAGTTCTAATTTTCAAAATTAATAAAAATCATTGATTAAAAAAATAACAATCCATTTACATGCATTAAGAGTTAAAAAAATTAGTACATAAAGTCAACTATTTATAATTATTTTTGAGTAGAGCAAAATTTCAGAAAAAAAGAAGAAAAAGGTCTAAAACATGAGAATCTTTATATATCTTATTATGCAGTAACACATATATTAAAGCTAACTTTCAAGAACAATGCTGTTTTTATGTAAATACCATATTATCCAATAACAAATTAAATTTATTAAACCTATGTCTCATGAGCAATAAAATACAGTATACAGTGTTGCTAATTTTATTTTTTTAAATATTCCCTTGGCTTGCACAAGAATACAAATAACTGCAACAATTCAAAAATAATTCAAATATCAAGAAAACACAGCTAAACAGTGTTTTTTTTTTTTTTTTTTTTTTCAAAATAATTCCCTTTCTCTCTCTCTCTTTTTTATAACAGAAGCAGAAATTCAAATCTACATTTTATAGATTAAGATATTTCTGACAGCTGTTTTGTGCACATTTTACATTTGGCATCAAATAAATCAATGACAATTAAATCAGGAAACTGTTCTTTAAAACTAACATACATAAATTTTAGTTCTAATGAAAATAAAAAAAAATTTTGTTAGAACTAATTAGAATAATTATTAACTCACATTTAATATCAAATGATTCAGTGATATTTAAATCAGCAATTTTCTTACTAAAAACTGAAATTCATTCATTATCATAACAATTAAAAATGAGTAACCCACAAAGAATTTATAACTTCTTTCAATACATTTAAATTAGTCAACTCATAACCTCAATATAGGAGCCAAGAAATTGATACAGAAACCAGTACCAATTAAAGACCAGATGAAAGTTGTGGGTTGAATAGATACAATATAATTTCTTATCTTAATCAACATTTTCTTCAGGAATACATTTGTTACACGAACAAATCTAGTTTTTTCCTAAAAAATAAAATTAAAACATTGTCTCAAAAATGGATGTTTTCAGAACAAAAAAAACAAATGAAAACTGATGTAAGATTTCATCACATGTATAATTTTTAAGAATAAATCAAACATAAAAGATTAGACAATCTTAAGTTTTTACTATTGAAAAAAATCATACATAATACTCAGATCATGCTTCTGTAAAAAACGTTTACTGAATAAATTACACTATAATTTTTTTCATTAACAAAATTTATGCTAAGTAATTACCTTAAGAAATTTTATTTTATAAAATAATACAATTCTGTGTGGCACATAAACTTTAAATAAAATTCTGTTAATATTTGCAATAAATTAACATGCAAACACAATTTAAGCTTTATGCACCTCCAATGTATATTCTATAATGTTTATACACATAATTAAAAAAAAATTAGCAATAGTGACTTAAATTTTTTAAAACCTCCCCCTCCCCAAACACAGTTCTAACATTGTTTCAAGAATGACATTCTTTTCATTGATTAAATTCCAATGAACCATTTTTAAATCCCATAAAATTTATAACTTCAAAACCTCAAATTTTTTAACCCATTAACTGCCAAAACTAAAAAGAATGATTTTTTTCTTATAATAAGAATTAAAGTAAGTATTTATAACATTTACACTGAAAATAAATAAATAAAAAATCTGAAAGGTTTCAGATTTTTAATTATGTCCATAGGAGCGTTTTTTTTAACATTTTGTGTGTTACCTTTATTTATTAAATATCATGTTCTTCGCACTTAACCATAAAATTCAGTTCAAGAGCAATTTCGCAAAATAATTTAAAATTAATCATATCTTTAGAATTCCTGATACACAGTCTCAGGCACTGGAGATAAAAATGTTTTTTCTGTACAACGTTGTCATTGCACTTTGAAATCCTTGAGTTTTTAACCCTTCGAGCCGGGTAGCGCAAACGCGCGCTTATCGCGGAGGCCGGCAGTGTCTTATGCGAGTGTCTGTCCAGGGCCAGGGGTTTTTTGCTACTAAGCCTAAATCCATGAAATTTCCGAAGTATCAAAGCATTGTTTAATAATGCTCTATAGAGTATTTAAATGGCTTATGCTTTATAGATATTTTTATACTATATACTTTAATTACCTTATTTCTTGTTTAAATGCATATTTTACACATTTTATTTTCATTACTCACCATTTTATGACTTTTAACATTATACATCTGAAAACTAAATATATCTGAAAACATCTGAAAACTTAAAATTCTCTTTTCGTATGAAAAATTTGAAAACAGGGATCTACACACAGTCCTACGTTACATTCCTTGCACTCTTAATAACTCATTTGCCGTTTTGGAGGATTTTTCCGGGAATGTGAACAAACGAAGCATCGTCGTCTCATTTTCTTATCAGTCTCTTCTGAACAAAGTTTTGGAAAATGCCTTTCAGTTAATCTTTCAGAATCAATATCAGAATAAACTGAATTTCAGAATCAATATCTGAAATATTTTGCATTATTTCTGCTATTTCATGTTCTGTTAAACATTTTCGACGCTTCGACATTGCAACAGTAAAAACAGAAAGAATTCACGTCTAATAAGATCTAATTATTTTCTAAAAACTAAACTGCAAACTGAAATACCCAACGCTTTAGCGCAAATGAAACTTCTCTACTTAACTAAACAACTACCATGTGCGAATAAACAACGATTTAAAGAGACATCATAAATCACGCTATTCAGAAACATTTATTTCCCCTTTTGTTTATGTAAAAATCTAGTGTTGCGTTCATGCAACACCAGTGGTAAAAGAATACAGATATTTAGAGAGTATGATTGCACTTGTGCGAAGTTTTCTTTCAGGGGAGCACTGGATTACTTTTTAATTGTATAATGTTTTATAAATCTACAAATCACTTTACTTTTAATTAATTTAATATTAAAATTTACATTGTATTTCCTTTACAAATACAAATTATTTTCAAATGAAAGATTCAAGCATGAAAAGCTTCACTACAATCATGATATAAAGCTACAGTCTGGCTAAGGAATTCTTTACAACGAAATCTTCTGCTGTAATCTGACTTCATGATAAAATCTCCATCCATCTCTACCATCTCCATGCAATGGCTTTTAAAATGCTGAATTTACTAGGTCTTACTGTTGCTGATCTATTTCCGGCTAATTTTACACTTTCAGCAGGGGTTTGCAAAAGGAATAGTGCAGTCTCACTTCTGAAATCTACAAGAGATTTTTTATTTCCTGTAGTAGAAAGATGTGATATTTCCTGTGTATTTGTCAAAGATACACCAATGTAATAAGTAAATATTGGTCACCACCATTTTTTTTGCCATGAACTCTTATTCTATAATTCACTACTAAATTGTCGCATAAATTGACTCCTTCCATTTTGATATTGTATTGTCCAATAAGATGAGGCTGAGATAAAAAAATCTGTTTCTTTTGCCTTCTTGAATAACAAGAAAAACTTTTTAGGGCTGAATTTTTCCAAATGTTGAATCAACAGTTACAACCGAATTGTTGTTCTATCGGACAGAAATTACATTGTTTTTCTCTTCATACTACAAATCACAATAAACCGTATCTTTCTTATGGACACATTTTACTGTTTCTAGTGGGCACATTTGTGTGTGGTTTTCTTGAATTGTTCTTGTTGCACTAAAACCTTTATTATTTAGATGACAGAGATGAAATCATAACTGACATTCTTTTTTACCCATTTCAAGTTCTCAATTTTTTAAACTTTTTCGTATGACTAGCACTGTTTTTAGAAGACTGAAACTTACTTCTTACATGAACTTCAATATCCCCAGCAGTAACATTTGGTAAAATATCAGTATTGAAAATCTTATCATTCCCTTCTTGTTCATCACTAGCTTCAGCAATTTCTGGTGGAACCAGTTTCATTCTGGTTGTTATCATTATCTGTTTCTTCATTAAAAAATCTTTGAAGGGCTTCTTCTAATGTAAGGTACCTCATTCTGAGCATTTTTAAAGCATGGAATGAATACCAACCAGAGCATCTAAAGGCATGAGTAAAAGGTATACGCTTTTCCTGCTGATGTTGCACCAACACAACACAGATTTTCCCTTCCATCTACACACATAAATACAAACAAGTGATTAATTGAATGTTCTGATAGGTTGTGACCTGGGCTAAAAATAGATCACCCCTAAAGATGGCGATTCTTTCATTAAATTTTTTCAGGAAAAGTACCTGGTTGAAAATTTTGTGTGCAAACAAGCACCTGGTATGCAGTATGAACATACATGAATAATGCATGAGTTGAATGAAAGTCAGCAAGTCACACCTTGCCCGTAAGTATGTACAGTGGTCAGTGCTTGACGTGTTGAAAAGTCTAATGATAGCTACGACAGTACCTACCTGGCCCATTAAGCTACATGCATCTTTCAGTCAGCTGTAGATCTCACAGGTATTGTTTTATAAGCTTTTACTTAGTTACGCATGCTGTTTCACTACAAGTGGAAATTTGCATAGATTTTTAAACTAATTCCTAATAAGCTATCAAGTTCAAATTTTGCACAAACACTGTTTGTTGATCACAAAGAAATGTGCTGATGTGAATTTTCAAAATTTGATTTAGACTTTTCTATTTAATGTTTAAACAAGTTTTTGTGCATACCTTCAATTTAATAAATGCACTAAGGATATCAAAATATTACTATCTGCACAACCAAATACAACAGAAAAAAAAAATCCTTTCAATTAAACTTGTATGAATATTGTGACTTAATTTCTGAACTTTTGGAGAATTTTTGAAAAATCGGTCAATTTTTTAGACTTCTTGATTTGAGCACCACATGCTTTTAGGATTTTAAAATTTTAACATTTATAAATGAATCAGATATAAAATTTTGAATTTTTCACAGACCATAAAACAAACTCTTTGCCTACTTTTAAAACAAGAAAGTACTGATTGAACAATTTTCTACATTTAAAAACAAAATGTGTTGCAATCTGAAGCAGATGTGGGAAAAAACCTTTTTGCCATCTTGGCACACTTATTGATAAACTGGTGACATTCATTTTTTCATTTTAACATAAAGAAATGCTTGCTAAGCAGCATTATTATTGTTACACCCAATTTTCAAAACTAAATATTCAAAGTGATTTTTTTCTTTTGTGATTTCAGAGTGACCTCCATAATCTAATACTTTCTTCTTCATTGTCTCTACTTGCATTAACTGAAACTTTTACTAAAATGCCTTGACACATTCATTGGAGCAGACTACAGATAGTTCCTTAGTCTTGAGCCCTTTATATTTACGCTTTTAAGGTATGCATGATTGACAGATAATCACACATGACATATCCCTTGCTCTGCTTGCAGTGCATTGATACTACGTTCGAAGTTATCAAAATATATTTGTGCTGAATTAATTTTTCTATTTCATATCTACATTATACTTTTACATTTGTCACCAGAAAAATAATTTCATAAACAAACTGGTTTATTACAACTAGCTTACTTGCCATTTCAATGCATATCCATAGAGATATATATACATCATACAGAATTCTGAAATTAAATGGCTGAAGGGGTAATAAACTTGGTATGTATTCATCTTATTACACCTGATAACTGTCAGCATAAATTAGGAAACTATAAAAATAATGATTTTTGTAATTTTGCTCATGAAGTCCAAAATCCATCAAAATGATGGGTCTCGTAAATCTAGTGTTAACGCAGCACATTTTAATATTTAAAAATAAATACATTAAAAAAATGAAAACTAATGGTTAGAATTTACATATATTAGTTTATAATTCAATTCTGTTCAAATTTAAAACTGAACCCAATGATCAAGTGTCATAGTACAAACATATAGTAAGTCTAAAAATACACCTTTCTTTTTTTTTTAAATAATACACATAAAATTTTTACACCCAATAAAAAGTACCTTTAAGATTTACAGCTGCTTTGACAAATTCTTGCATTAATTCCCCAAAATAAGTTCCACCTTTTCTTTTTTGA